CATTGCACCACTGCCCCTTCTCGCTGCCAAAACACCACTTTGGAAGTTCCTTAAAGAGCAGATCCATAAAGCAGGAGGGTCATGTCTAAGAGCAGCGGTGGCCCTAACGACTTGCCCCCCACCCCACAGTGGCTCCCAGGGCGAAGCTCTCAGCTGACGGGCCGCTCTCCTGCCTTCACAGTGGGCTCTTAATCAGCCTCATGTCAGGCACAGCGCTGTCCTTGGTGTGTGCGCTGCTGCATATCCAAAGCGGAAGTGAAGCGGCCGAGCCAGCAGCCTCGCGCTGGGGCTCAGGGAGGGAGACTGGCTGTGAGGGCCGCACACCCACGGCATCTCAGGACAGTGCGTGTGAGAGACAGGCCGCTTCTGCACAACGCGACGCAAGAGGGGAAATTTCTCCTCACTCCACTAGGCTAACAAAAATGGGGAAATTCCTTTCAAAATATAAATAACCAAACTCAGCCAATGAAACACAGGAAATGAACCTGTAATCCTAAACAGACTAACCCCGGAGTCCAACTCCGTGCGGCCCCCTCGATGCTGCGGCGCCTGCTCCACCACAGTGTGGAGACCAAGCCCCGCGAGAGCACCGCTCCCCTCTCCCACCGGCGCCTGGGGAGGACCCTGACCCCCGGCGGGGGAGGGGGCGCACCTCGTGCGGGGCTCCTTTGAAGACGCTGGCGGACTGGTAGATGGTCTCGGTCCAGAGCTTGAGGTCTTCGTTCTCCAGCTCCTCCGCGGTCCGGTACAGGGACTTGGGGACCAGCCCGCCCTCCGGCACTTCACACTGCAAAGCAAACACGGATGAAGCTGCGCACACACACCTCTGACCCCTGACCATCAGGCTGTACCGCCCGCCACCTGGCACCGCCTCGGAGCTGGAGCTGCGGGGGAAGCGGAAGCTGGCGGTGCGTGAGCCGCAGCACCTGGCCACGGACTCCCCGACCTCCTGACAGACCCGTCCTGCTTTAAGTAAATGAGAACGAGAGAAGCTGATCCACCACAGAATTCACACTAATGTGTCTGAGCTCTGGACTCACTCACTACGGCGGGTGTCTGTGAGGTGACGAGTGTTTACACTGCACCGAAAGGGAAAGCGTGACGTCACGGAAAGGGGTTTCCTCAGCAGCTACAGGCATTGCTTTTATTCATGTAATAACGGTCAAGACCCGTGACCAATGACGAAAGCTCCGCATCTACCGCAAGTCAAATGACTAGCCGACTAGCCGACTAGCCGGAACATCAGCCAAACACTCATGGCGGACAGCTTCCTGGGAGAGGGTGCCTCCTTCCTGGGAGAGGGCGCTTCCTGGGAGAAGGCGCCTCCTTCCTGGGAGAGGGCGCCTCCTGGGAGAGGGCGCTTCTTCGGATTTGCCTGCAACAGGCTGTCCTGAATGGAAGTTGTGCATTTCACAAAATTCCTAATTCACCTCGATACCATGGCTTCACACCGCAGCTCGTAACACCCACGTGCTTCCTGTGTAATCAGCGCCGGAGGTGCCCACAGGAACAAACATGACGGACACCTGCCATAGCCATGACGTCTCGTTAGAGACGGGTAAACCCTCTTGTGCAGTAGAACGAGGGGAGGGCTGCCTCTTCCACACCAGCCTGGACAGAAGCGCAGAGAGCAGAGAGGAAGCTCGAAGGCCAGTTGGCGGCCCCGTCAGCTTCGAGGACCTCCCACCTGAACGCAGCACGGTGGTCAGGGGACACGAGGCCCCACCGGCCGTGAGTCGTCTTCTGCTCCCACGAGCTCCTCATTGGAGCGACCGCCTGACGGTCCTCTCACGGAACACAGGTCGCTGGAGGGCTTCTGCGAATCTGACCTCAGGGCGAGGTCACGGGCACCGGGGAAGTCCGGGCCCTGTAACCGACATGCCCCTCCATGGCACCGCGGCACACCTGCCACTCCCTACAGCAGGGCTGAGGAACTCGGAGCGGAATGTAAATGCTGCTTAAATTCCTCTCACCGTCCAGAAAGATTTTCCTAGACCCCAACTCATTAGCTAAACACATGCGTCAAGGCCAGGTCCCGCCTTGGAGACAACTTTCTCCACGAGGAAGGATGAGAGCCTTTCTCTAAGAGCCTGACTCCCGAAGCCACGCCCTCTCCTGGTCCCTGGGTCTCTGCAGCTGCGGTGCCCTCCCCCCTCACGCAGGCAGGGAGCCCCAGCGGCTGCAGGTCCTCAGGGAATCACACATCCTGATTCCTCCTCACAGCGCAGGGCATAGAAGGGGAGGAGCAACTCAATGCATTAAAAATCCGAAATTACATGTAAGAGTGGGAATTGCCTTGATTTGTCCTCTTTAAAATGTCATCCTGATTTATTATCAATGGGGAAATCTTTTTTAAAATAACGTTGATTTTGTTAATAGTGTTTTAAGAAAACACACAGCTCCTCCAAAACAGCTCAGAAACCTGATTCAGAAAGACAAGTACTTTATGATTTCACTCATCTGGGGAATCTAATGAACAAAATGAACGAACATCTGACTCACACAAAGCGGAGGGAATAAGCAAGTTGCAATTAGATTAGACTCTACAGCAAGTTCCCATTAGTGTAACAATGAGGAAATGTGCACGTTACCAAAGATTACTAAACGGTGGATCAGAGAGATGCCAGCCAAAAATAATAGAACCCAAACCAACAATCCAGACTAAAACTCTGAAAACCACTTGTTCAGACCACGCCCCTCCCTGTAAGGAGCCGAATGGGCAGGACTTGCCGGCACGCACCATGCACTCCCCGCCCAGGAAGTCGGGGATGACCTCCTTGTCGATGTAGTCCAGCAGGCCCCCGGGGCCCTGGTAGTCGTTCCCGGCGTAGATGAGGAACTTCCTCCTGGTGTTGTCGTCGATGAACGGGCTGACCTGTCAGAGAGAAAGCGCAGTCACCTCTGCTGGGCCGTCTGGCTTTCAGAGGCTGAGTGATATGGTGACACCATGAGTGGGGGAGGAAGTGTGAGTCTGATACACTTAGTAAAGCCCGTTTGCATGGCATTGGGACGCTCAGGAACCCTTTCTTCCCCTAAACAATTTGAGAAATGTTATGTCTTTCCACGACAACTTGGTTTTTCTAACTCGCCAGGACTTGGGAGTCACAGACGCGTGAATATGACTGCGTGGTGTGTGCCTCGCAGATGTAGCAGCTGCCGGAACAGCATCCACCCACCAGCGTCCAGAGCACAGGAAACACCCGGGGGGCCCGCAGGATGAGCAGGCGGCCCAGCGTCTCGGGGTAGTTGGCCTCCACCACCTCGATGATGCGCAGCAGGGCCTTGACGCCGGGCCTCCACAGGTGGCGCATGTTCAGCCCCTCCAGGTCCACCAGGCAGGTCCACGAGCTGCGGGTGCACAGACGCGTTATTCCAGACGCACCTCGGCACACTGGGTCCCACAGCTATTGTTCTGTATTCTTGATACTATAATGTAGTCATTTCTATCCATTTCCAAAAAATGCCCGTTTTCAGAGTGACAGTGCTATGAACTAGACTTGCACCTGCTTGTAAAGGCATACGGGTCAGTGTGGGGCACCAGCCCTGCACTCCCAAGCACCAGTGGCTCACGGCCAAAGCCTAACCCCCGGCCTAACGTGCTCAGCGACCGGCAAGTAGGGCACCAGCTGCGATGACCCTGGGCTGGTCTGCACTGGGGCGGCGGCGGCATGCCTGAGCTGCGGTGAGCTCTCCGAGTGTCCCGGAGCCCAGCGCCGTCTCCGAGCCGAGGGTGCGGCGGGAACCAGCCTTGGAGCCCTGCCCTCAGAGCTTCCCTCCAGTGGACCCTCTGCCCGCACCCGGTCAGCCTCTCAATCCCGCACTTAGGTAACAGTTCACCAGAACTAGCAGTAGGATTTAGGAGCATGCACTAATTTTTGAAGCTCGCCCCCCCCCCACCCAAAAAAAAAATTTAAGCTGAAACCGGTTTGGTTCAGTGGATAGAGCGTCGGCCTGTGGACTGAAAGGTCCCAGGTTCGATTCCGGTCAAGGGCATGTACCTGGGTTGCGGGCACATCCCCAGTGGGAGATGTGCAGGAGGCAGCTGATCGATGTTTCTCTCTCATCGATGTTTCTAACTCTCTATCTCTCTCCCTTCCTCTCTGTAAAAAATCAATAAAATACATTAAAAAAAAAAATTTAAAAAAACCCAGACTAACCCTAACCTGCAACCCTGGGCTCTCAAGGACCATGCAGACTAGCCAGCCTGGCCACGCCCCTGAGATGAGGGACGGCAACGCCCAGGGGTTAGAAATACCCAATCCAGCACCGCCCCTCTGACGGCCACATACATGCTCACTGTCTTCTACCTTCAGGACACTATTTACACTTGGTTCTAAGAATCAACCGGGAACATTTAGGTCAGAGGCTCCATCAGCTGGAAGGAAAACAAAGCCGCACGTCTACCTGATGGGCCGGCCGAAGACTTTGGTGTTTTCTTCACAGCGTCTCAGCCCTTCCTCGTTGATGGAGAGGACCTACGCATAGGAGACCACGAAAACTGTCAGTCTAGGACAGTGGTTGGCAAACTCATTAGTCAACAGAGCCAAATATCAACAGTACGACGATTGAAATTTCTTTTAAGAGCCAAATTTTTTAAACTTAAACTATATAGGTAGTACATTGTTATTAACTTAATCAGGGTACTTCTAAGCTGGCCTTTGCTAAAAACGTCCTCCATCTGATTGAGGTACGTTCGCTGAGGTCGACCCCTTCCAACTCTCCCATCCTCAACTCGTGCATGAATCGCACGCGCCTCCCCCACGCTGCCTATCCCGCGCCCGCCTGCGCCGCGTCTCCTGTCGCCCGTCGCCCGACTGACACCCCCCACTTCTTCTAACGCCACGTCTTCAAAATAGACTCGCCCAGGCCGAAAACCGACTTCTGCGCATGGGCCACGAAATTTTAATCGCACTGTACGTGCGCGCCCGCACGTGGTATTTTGTGGAAGAGCCACACTCAAGGGGCCGAAGAGCCGCATGTGGCTCTCGAGCCGAGGTTTGCCGACCACTGGTCTAGGAGGTGACGCTACTGTTAGGCTTTCTGCACACACACAGCTTATCGCCGACAGAACCTCCCTCTGGAGAGAGCGAGCGCTGTCCCCTGTGGCGGGGGACAGAACCCCGAGTGGGGTCACAGGAGGGCGTGCCTGCTGTGGGGGACGACACCACACCTACCAGCCCAGGGAAAGGGCGGCGTCAGGCAGACCGGAAGCACGGCCAGAGGGAACGCTGTTTGGATAACAAACCTACCCCCGTACAAGCGGCCATCACATCCTTACGGTCTATCTTTTTGTGCGTGTGTGCGCGTGTGGATGTGCTTGCACGCGCGTATAAGCACACACAGGCGGGCTAAGAGTCCACAATAAAATGCCAACAGTGGATGTTTTAGGATCACTGGATTGTGGATGTGCCCTTTAAAGTTTTGTTTTTTTGATTGACGGATCGTATTCCTCTCCTCATAACTGCCCACTGTGGAGGCTGCAGAGGCAGGGCGAGCCACGTCGGGGAGGGAAGGAGACTGTCTGGTTCAGGTGAAAGATGCAGGAGCCTGGATCGAGGCGGTGCCAGTGGGAAGACCATTGTGAAGCGTCGGGAGTGACAATCTCAGAAGGAGAGTCAGGGGGGGTGAAGGTCAGAGAGGACGCGGACTCAGGCCCAGTGGCCATCCGAGTGCTTATGGTGACCTTTTGGTCAATGCTTCCCCGTGAGAAACGTTTTTATAACTTCTGTGCCTGCCTCTGACATTTTTCACATATACTAACGGCTTTTCCTTCCTGATGACAAAAGCGACACATGCTTGCTGTCACAGGACGACCGTAACATCCCAATCCCGCTGTGGCCGGGCGCCCGGCCGAGCACTTACGTATCTGAGCAGGGCCTCCTCCCCGAGGGCCCTCACCAGGCCTTTGGTGTCCATCTGTCCCAGCCGGATCACGTAGAGGGGCCGCCCGTCTGCAGGAGGAAGGCAGGTGATTACACGCGGCGCTGGGTGTGCGAGGCCGATGAGGAACGCGCCTCGTACTCGGGACGAGCTTCAAGTGTGTACAGGAGCCCCCCAATCTCTTCCCAAAAGATGGTAAAAGGGAAAACAAAAGCCGCCGACAGAGCAGCTCAGCTGGTGGTGGCGACAGGTCTGCGTGGACGAGGGGCGCCCCCTGGGCACCCACTCGGCTCACTTCACACCCAGGACTGAGCAGAGCTCCGCCCTCAGCGGCAGGGCATCCCCTCGGACAGCTTTCCTGTGAGCAGCCCTGTGCTTCTTCCTCCACAGGCTACCGACAACGCAACGTCAGGGTCTGGGAGAGCCAGCTCCCTCCCTTCCCGCCCTGAACACCAGGGTCACTGAGCACTTTGTGGAATCGGAAACCCCGAACAACCAGCACACGCCGGCTCTGCTTCTTCACGCTGGAGCCTCATGGATGGGCCTGGGAGGACTCACGCACTGGGGACAGGCTGGTCCCCAGGAGCCAGCTACACAGACGGAAATGGCCTTGATGGCCAGTGTCCCCAGCGGTCCTGGCCCCTCTGCTCGGGGCCGCAGGACAGCAGCGGAGAGGACAGGGTGGCGCTGCTGCTGAGAAGACACCAAGACGCCTCCTGCTGTCACCGCGACCCGGGGCCACTGTTCCCTGTATCGCCACCCGGAACTGCACCTCCTGGGAGGTGTGGTCTCGATCTGCTGCATCTACTGCAGCAAAGAGGGCTTTGTGCTCCCTGGTCTTGTTGAAGGAAGATTTATAAAAACCCCTCCCGGGACTAATTAGATACATTTGTCAGTGTCTTCTACCAAACCTTCCCATCTTTGAGGGTCACAAGTGGAATAGATATATACTCCAGGAAAATGAGTAAAGCAACACGTAGCCCGGAGAGGCAGGAAAGGTAAGTCAGGGAAGGGAGCCACCCGAGCTGCTCGGGTGAGAAGCACCTGCCTGGGGGTGGGGAGTTCCGGGCGGCCTGGGGCGGCGCCATGTCTGGGGTTCCATTCTGGGCGCTGTCTGGGTCGGGGAACAGGGCCGTGCCTGTGACAGCGCAGCTCTCCCACAGGCGTGACAGGTAAAGCAGCCCAGGAGGGGCTCCCACTCACGTGCGTTTAGGTGGCCACTGTCCTCGGCTTGCTTTTACCCCTCCCGGCCAGAGCTGCCGCCCTCCCCTGCCCGGAGGTGGATCTGGCTGTGCACCCTCACAGGCGCGCGCAGGCACTGGCGCGCCCCCACCAGCACTGTGCTCCTCACAGCTGCCCTCAGCCTCTGGCTTCACGTCCCAAAACTCCACGTAATTCAGAGAGGAACGGAAGTGACTTGCCCAGGGCACCGTGAGGCCTGAGGAGGAAGCAAAGGGCCCGGCCCTTCCTCAGACCCTGGGGCCTTTCCCGGTGGCTTAGGAGCGCGATGCTGCGGTGATGACATGGGCATCAATGTGTCCGGGCGGCGGGCGGGGAGGGAGGAGGCCCTCAAGGGCCCACTTCGCTCTGTGGGAGGTCTCCCTCCCAGCACGTCCTGCGTGCACGGCACTCGCTACCTTTGTCGTGGTGGTGCCAGCCTCCCGCGTAGTAGTCCTGCAGGACCTGGGGCGGGTTCCAGGTGTCCAGGATGTAGTCCACCTGGTGCTGCTTGCGCCAGGTCAGCGACTGGCACATGATCTCTCTGGCTTTGTCGATGTTGAAGTCCCGGGCGCGTAAGAACCGGAGAATGTGCTCATCTTTGGGGATCTGTTGAGAGGAGGTGCTGTAAGCAAGTGATGCTGGAAGTTGCTACGGAGAAACACAAGTTACCTGGGCAAGACTCTCAAACGCTCACTTCGTATTGCGAATGGGCTGGCGCCAGCCGGTTTGGCTCAGTGGATAGAGCATCGGCCCACGGACTGAAGGGTCCCTGGTTTCCCTTTACTAAGTAATGCCAGTACGACTAGACACACAAACGTGCCTCTGCTCGCGCCAGACCCCATTAGTCAGAGGCTTATTATAAAACCTGATTCCTTATGAGGCTAAAATTCTACCAAAAACTTCAAAACCAAAGCTCAAACATTTCTCATCTCTGAACAACCTGTGAACTCCTCCCAAACCTTGTAGGAGACCATTCTCTGTGAAGCCCGGGGAAGGGCACACAGCCTGCCAGGGGACTGGTGCCACGAGACCCCGATGCGCGACTTTAGGTTGGAAGGGCAGCCCCCGCCGTGGTAGGCGGGACAGTGACTCTGAGCAATGGTGGGCGAGACCAGGCCCACGGTTCCCCACAGCACACGCGACCAATGCTCACTTTGCCCTTGTGGGTTTCCTGGAGCCACTGGCGCAGCCGGATCAGGCAGCTCTCCTGCAGCGGAGTCAGGTCGCCCAGGTACCTCTTAATGTAGTCTGCGTCCAGCTTGTCTGCAACAGAAGTCACATGCCATCCGTTACCACAAGCACCCCGGAACCTCGGTACCACAGGGCCCTGCTCCGTGAAGCCACGTGGTCCAGTCTCGGGACTCAGGGACTCCAGAGGGAACCGGGCCACCCCAGGACACCTCGAGGGCAGCCTTTAAAACCTAATCACTGACCCAGCCCCAGGTGACCAGCTGGATCTATTCTGTTCCCTAGTTGCCAGCACATCCCCTCGATTTGCAAAAATCTCAACTATTCATGGCAGAATAATGGCCATTACAGGTATTTAATGACTTTTCATTAAAAGTTATATAAAGAGAACTTACATGATCTAAAACTATGAAATGAAACAAATGGATCTAAACCTGTTTTAAACAGAGCTGTGTTCAAGAAGACAAGAAGTCTCTTTCATGCTAAGGTAGCATAAACTGCAAAAATGAGGTAGAAAATTAAGCACAGCAAAGAAAAATTCACAAGATGCAAAACAGGACATAGGCCCAACCGGGGAAACGCCTGCCACCTGCTGAAAGCAGCAAACGGCCTAGTTCAGCTGCAGAGAAAGGCGCAGAGAAAGGTAAATATCAACAGTTTTACAAGGCTCCCGAGTGGTAGAATTTTCTTGTATTTTCTTATTTTACAATGGGCTTCACTCTGAGAAATGAAAAAGGTGTGTGTATGTGTGTGTATGTGTGTGAGTGTGTGCACACGCACAGCCCAGCTGACGCAGCCTCGGAGCCTGCCACGAACAGCTGTGTGACTCTACCCAGGTGCCTCCGCGCCTCGGTGCCCCGCGGAGCACTCCCGACCCACCAGGCCCATGTGAAAGGGGTTCACAGAAAGCTTAGGACAGGACCCGGCACAGTGAGCGCAAAGCGACGACGCAGAGCTGTGTTAAAGCCGTAGGTGCCACCCTGCATTCACTGAAGATGCGATCAGCTACAGTAAGTGGAAGACATTTCTGGTGTCATAACTTGACGTGACCCTTCCGCCCATTGAAGACAGACTGCCCGTCTTCACTCTGAGACACCTCGATGAAGTGCTGCGTAAGCTGGAGGAAGGGGGCCTGCGCGAGCTGCGTCTCCTCCTACGTGACATCTAATGTCCTACGGAACTAGAGGCAGAGTCACCGGAGAGGAAGCGACCCACCATCGGGGGTCCCTGCGGCGGGCTCAGAGGCCCCGCTCGGGCTGCTGAGGGCCTCGCTGCTCAGCCCTTCCTTCTGCGCAGCCTCTGGGGCCACCGAGGCCAGCGACGCGGCTCGCTTCCTGCACGACGCGGCCGTCTCCGCAGAGGGCGCCAGGGGCGGCGGAGTCCAGCGGGGCACGAAGGTGATGCCCTCCTCCTCCAGCTGGTGAAGGTAGTACTCAATTATTTCCTTTCCCTTTAAAACAAAACCAGTGTCAGGTGAGCACGCATTCAACAATGAAATCGCTCGTCCCTCACAGGCCTTTGTAACACTAACAAAAACTGAGCTGCTGCAGAATAAACAGGGGGAAGTCAAATGCCTCTGCATTTTTGTTTTTCACATTTTACTTCCTCTTCTCCAAAGGTCTAGGAAGTAATATCTAAAGAGACAGAATCTTTATGACTAATTAGAAGCACTGCTTTACCACACTTGTACTCAATACGTGCTTTCTGTCTCAATCCAAATTCTTTCCAAAGTCCCAAAATAAAACAAGCCTTCAAAAGCACTCAGAACCCCAAATTGGTAAGTTCAAAACCAAACTTTCACAATAAGGAACAGCAGCAAAAGAACGAGAAGGAGCCCTAGCCGGTTTGGCTCAGGGGATAGAGCATCAGCCTCTGGACTGAAGGGTCCCAGGTTCGATTCTGGCCAACGGCACCTGCCCGGGTTGGGTGCCCGGGTTGCGGGCTCAATCCCCAGTAGGGGGCATGCAGGAGGCAGCCGGTCAATGATTCTCTCTTATCGTTGATGTTTCTATATCTCTCTCCCTCTCCCTTCCTCTCTGAAATCAATAACAATATGTTTTTTAAAAATTATATCTAAAAAAAAAAAAAAAGAAGAGAAGGCAAGTTCTTCCATGCAGATGAGCCAATGATCCAAGGTGGACCCCCTGAGCACGCCTGGGAGGTGCCTCTTCCGGCTGCAGCACTTCCGGCCGCAGATCCTGGCGGGCACCAGGGCTGCTGCTGCAAGTGAGCTGCTCCTGCCTCACCCCAACTCTCACCTTCCCGGCAAGTCCCAGCCGAGAACGCACGGCCCCCCTGGCCACATGCTCCTCCTCACCTCGTTGGCAACCAGCATTCTGTGCACCCCAACCTACGCCTCCCACTCCCAGGGACCCAAGGCCCGGGGAAGGTCAGAGCAGTCCCCCAGAGAAATGGCTGGGACCGACTACCCCATTCCCAGCCTCCCAGAAAGCCCGCCAGCACCAATCATCCCAGGGACGCCTGCCCACCCTTTTCCATAAAACTCCAAGACAGACTCACTTTTTTAATGTTGCTGGTATATTGTTTCATTGCAATTTTCTCCACTGTACTTTCAAAACCAAAGAAAGATTTAATATCTAAGCTTGCAGACTGTTCGAAACAGGTCCAATCTTCATTTTCAGGGTGAACCTTCAGATTGAGAAAGAATTGCATTAATAACTGATAACTGAGAATATCATGTCTGCCCCTCAATCAACTAGTCAGCGTAAGAAAAAACCTATTTTACTAATCATGTGATTATCATGAAAGCTGCAGATGGAAAAATTACAGAGAGGGTCAAAATCACGGAGACCAAAGCACTATTTCTAAAATATTCAGGGCTGGCTTCATCAGGGAGGGCGGTCAGCAAAGGCTGGAGGAGGTGAGGGCGGGCGTCCCGCAGAGGACGGGGCGGAGGCTCCTGGCAGGGAGCCCCGGAGCAAAGGTCCCTGTGAGGCCCGTCTAGGAGCAGACAGCAGACGGAGCGGGGCTGTGCACGAGGCAGGCAGGCACAGAGGTACGACCTCTGAGTGCAAAGCCGAGTCCCTGCTGGGTTCTGGGACCGCGTGACGTGATCTGACACACGGTCGGCGGGTGGCTCGGGACTCAGGGCTGCTTCTATAGGAGGGTGGGGAGACGCGGGAGACCCAGGAGGTTAGCCTAGCGACCTGGGAGGAAAAGTTCTGGAAACGGCGGTAAGCGTGAAGCTTAGGGCAATCAATGCACTCAGCGCCACTCTCGGAGGTCCCAGTGTCATGACCTTCAACAGACATCTGAGGTCAGAGTGGCCAGCAAAGCAGGCACGTAAAGCAAATCCACACACAGACCAGAGCACTTGCCGCCTGCACTCTGAGTAACCGCACCTGCTCCTGCGCCCCCGCCGGGAGGCGGCAGCCTGCGGAGAGGACAGCCGGTACTCACGGTGTAGCAGCAGTGCTCCTTAATGATGACCCGGTTAGCAAACGTCTCATTATGGGCCTCAATGTGCAAAGTGCGCTCCCGGGAATTCAGTGAGTTTTTCTGGACGAAATAAACATAGTCAACTCCCGCAATCTGTAAAAAAGAACAGAGAGAAGGATGCATTAGTACCACCCAATCGCAGCAGCGGCAGCAGCAGTGGTGGTGTGCGTGATTCGCTCAGGTTCGGGGCGCCTCCTCGGCCTGTGGTCACCTTTTTCAGCAGCCGGGGTGCGTCTATGTCCAATTTGCAGCGTCTTTCTATGATGTGAATGGCCCCGTCCTCACTCCTGAATTCATTCACAGTGTCACTGTCCACAAACATCGGGATCAGCGGGCACGTGGGGAACCTCCTTTCGTAGGCCTGGGGAGACGTGTGGAGAAAGAGGGGTGAGGGCGTAGTCACAGACATCAGAGCGGCCGTGTCTTCACCTCTCCAGCTCCCACTGAGAGGGAGGAACTTTCTGTGTTTGCTCTTCAGGGCCTGGAAGGCTCAACATGGTAGAGGCCAATTCTCCCCACGTGGACACAGAAATTTCACGGGATTCCATCCAAATCCCAGCTAGGTTTTTATTTGTAGCTATCCACTTAATTATTTTAAAATGTACATGAAAAGGCAAAAGAACGGAACACTTTTGAAAAGGAGTGAGTTGGGAGGAATGGCTGGACCCGGTACTCAGGCTCACTGTCTGAGACTGGTAGAGAGACAGACACGCAGCTCAATGGGCAGAGCGGACAGCCATAAACTAACCCACACGAACAGGCCCGAATGACTTTTGACAAAGGTGCACAGCAATCCAACGGAGGAAGCCTAGCCTTTCAACAAATCACTGGAGAAATGGCACACCCAGAGGCAAAAAACGGGCTTCCACCGCAACCCCCCAAAACTATAAAAATTAACTCAAAATGGATCACAGATTTCTGTGTGTGTGTGTGTGTGTGTGTGTGTGTGTGTGTGTGTAGAAGAGAGAGGGAAAGACAGAGAGAAACATCGATGTAAGGGCCCGGGCCGGGGAGGAGCCTGCAACCAAGGTATGTGCCCTTGACCGGAATCGAACCCAGGATCCTTTGGTCTTTAGGCCAACGCTCTATCCACTGAGCCAAACCGACGAGGGCAAAATGGATCACAGCTTTAAACATTTTTGTAACATCCTTGAAGTGATAAAATTATAGCAACAGAGAACATACTGGTGGCTGCCAGGGTGAAGGCGGGAGAGAGGGGGGCGGCGGGTGTGACTGTGACAGGGCGGCGGGGCGCACGTGGGAAGGGCTCTGCATCTTGGTGGCACCTACGCCAATGCCCTGGTTGTGGAGATGTGCTGGGCTTCTCCAGATGCTTCCACTGAGGGGGGGGGGGAGGGGAGCGTGGGCCTCTCCGTATCCCTGCTTATGAACAATGCTCGTGTACTGTGAACCTACAATTAGCTTGGAACAAACTATTTAATTAAAGAAAGAAAGACTTGCTCTATACATAATTCATGCAAACTCGTGGGAAATACACACAGGTACCGGACTAGTTCACTCGGCTCCACCCGTGTGGGCAACGGAACGAAAGCGCACAGTTTCTAGGAGAAGCTCCCCTATCTTCAAACCCTGCCTGGGCCGCAGAGCCCACCCAGCACCTCCCACTCTCCCTCCGCACCGAGAACCCCCAGGAGGCGCCTCCTGTCCCCGCTCAGAAGAGCGGCCCTCATTTCCAAGTGTCTCCTTTCCCACCAATTATCTGCAATGTCACCAGGTCATTTCCTCGTCACACTCGCATTTATGAAATCAAGAAAAGGCCAAACACAATGAACTCTCCCAGAGTGATCTGGCGGAGGGAGAAATGGTCTGTGATGTCTCCTCTGAAAAGGAAACATGACTTTTGTGAGAGCGATAACTCTTGTAGCCATTGGCTCAGTCTCTCTGGGCAACGCAGCAAGTGTTCCAGTAACGAAACAAGACGAGGGCCTCCGCCGCCGGCCCCCAGAGGAGAGCTGCCTTCTGGTAACTCGGCTTCCTCCCACCTTCTTCGCCCACTCTTCGTCTTTCAAAAGGGATTCTGAACCTGCAATTTGGGAGCTTGGCAACAGTGCCTTCAGCTTTTTCATCAACCTCTGAATGCAGTTTTGACATTAAAAGCTTCTACTGTGCGAAAGAAAACCATATTTTAGCGAAGACATTTTAACTTGAGAACTAATGAACTTAATATTGCATCCTGCCAGGAAAACCCATTTAAAAGAAATTCCATTTAAAGAACCTTCCTTTAAATTGAACTATGTTCACATCCAATTTAGCCAACCAGCTAAGCCGGCTGCTTCCCATATACCCACCTGGATGGCTATGGCACTAGGCCTGGCTGTCGACTCACTTATAAGCAATTCTGGTTTTGCTCTGGAAAATCCATACACGAAAACACGAACTATGCCTTAAGTCTCTCTTAGATGTTGCCAGTGGCTCAAAAAAAACCACAAAGCCCAAAACACAATATATCAAGCAAATGTGGTAAATTGACCAAAGTCCCTCAGAGCTAAAATTCTGTAATCCATTCATGATCAAAATTACAGACTGAGCCCTGGCCGGTTTGGGTCAGCGGACAGAGTGTCTGCCTGTGGACTGAGGGTCCTGGGTTTGATTTCGGTCAAGGGCACATGCCTGGGTTGAGGCTCGATCCCCAGTAGTGGGAATTCAGGAGGCAGCCAATCAATGATTCTCTCTCATCATTGATGTTTCTCTTTCTCTCTCTCTCTCTCTCTCTCTCTCTCTCTCTCCCTCTCCCTTCCTCTCTGAAATCAATAAAAATATATTTTAAAAAATTACAGATGGATGCAGAGGGCGCGCCATATGCAGACACTGTGCTGGGCTCTAGAGAATGCAAAAGTGGAAGGCACAGGAATGGGCTGTGCAGAGGCAAGACGTAAACAGCTTTCTCTGTAGAGGACAAGGGAGAAGACCGAGGAGGCGGAACCTTCTAGAATGTACTGACGAGAAACTGCTCAGGATCTCGGGGCAATCCCTTGGTGCTGGCGCAGCAGGCCCTGCTGAGGAAGGGCATCCTCCCAGGGCCTGAGGAGCAGCCGCGGCGGAGAAGCAGCCCCGGGAGGAGGGGACCGTCCTGGGGGAGGAACCTGAGCAAAACCGAACGGGAGCAAAGCAGGGCCGAGCTCCAGAGAAGCCGCCCAGACCGTCCAAGGACGCGTTTACCGGGATGCTGGCTGGAGCTGCAGCCGCTCCATGAACAGCTTCGGGCACCTGGGTCCGCTGCGGACACAGCCTGTGCGCCCGAGGCTCATTCTAGATGCCAGAGTGACAGCCACCCAGGGACCAGGCCCCGGCGCTCATGTTCCCACCATTCAGTGCTCTGTGGGCTCGATCCCCCCTCCTCTCAGAGAAACCTCTATGCAGTCCACTCCTAAACTGAGGTCCCAATCCACGCTGTTTTTGCACAAATGTGTTCATGAGCTATTTATAAAAATTAAAATTTGTATAAATTTGAGCCCTTTAAAGGAAAAATTAAAATCCAGTTAGTCATGATAAGCCTTATTCATCCAAATACTTACTGACAACCCAGTCAGACTGGCTATTTTTACACGAGCATGAGACTAGGAGCAACTAAGGCCTTCGATTTCCAGGCCAGACCCCTGCAGCCCTGTCAGCGCCATGTGAGAGGCTGCCGGCGAGTTTTCTAAGTTTCCTTCAGACGAGCAGCCCAGGCCCACGCGGTTCAACTGGGCCCGTTTGGGAAAGGTCTCTCGGGTGACCTCTCTGACCCGCCTGGGCGCCCTGCTCTCGGGCTGCTGGTGACACTGGTGACTGGCGAGAGGACAGTGCCCAGAGCACTGCCGCGTGCTGCCACGCCGGAGGTTTCCAAACGTCAGCACCTCGGTCACTTCTCCAGGGTGTGCCAGGGCCAACGCCCGGGCATTGCTGCTGCCCCGTTCCCTCAAGTGCTGCTGCACAGCGACACCCAAGCCCGGCTTCACAAACACAGGACACCCCCGCCCCCCCAAGGCACACAGCGACACATTCGTGCAAAGGCGACGGAACTGGGAGCTGCCGGTGTCCAGGAAATGCCGAGCGTCACCGTGTTTCCTCAGCTCCTTGGTGCTCTGGCTGCTGGGAACGCAGTGCTCTGAACTGAACGCCTGAACTCAGAAACCCCTCTGCCTACAGGTGCATCATTCAAACTCCCCGCCAGTGCCCCCAGCCCCCTCCGTCACCCTCTGCTGGCACACTTCCTACTGAAGCAGAGGGGCCGGCGTTCCAGTAAACTTCCCGTTTCTGCAGAAAGGCCTTTAAAAACCCGAGAGGTGGGTGACCTTCTGCTGTAAGCGAAGGGCCAGGCGGTGAGCATTTCAGCTTTGTGGCCAGACGGGCTCGGTCACAAAACTCAAATCTGCCTTCCTAGGACAGGGCAGCCTCAGAAACCCAGTGAGCCAGGGAGAAAGCCGGGCCCGCTAGCACCATCTCCACGGCACTGACACTTGAACTTCATACACTTCACGTCATGACTAGCCTGAGTCTCCCCCAACCATTCCAAATGGCAGGGCCGCTCTTACTCGAGCCCAAAACCAGGCCGCAGGTCACAGTGTCCTCTCCTGATCGAACGGATTAACCGCAGCAGGTTCCGCTGAATTATTTTCTCACAAAAATGCAAGTTATTTCAGATGCCAACCAGTCAAAACTGTGAGGCACAAAAACCCTTATATGAACCCTTAATATATTTGTATTTAACTAAATTGTTCTCCGTTATACAGCAGGGACCCCACCAATGCACTCTTAGACACAAATTTGACCGTGGACATGTACCCCAAAAAGAAGTGGGGAGGAGGGACGAGAACCTGACTGCAAGCAGGGAGGAGCGCCCACTCTTCCACTGAGTGAGCAGATGGCTCCTGCGTCTAAACCAGCAGCTATTTAAATTTAGTTAAAAGGAGCCATTAAAATTCCGTTCCCTAGCGTCACTGGCCACACTTCAAGTTCAAAAAGGTGCTCTGATATTCTCGACTGACTCACAAGGAATAACTTGATTCTGTAACCGACATTCTGACCCGACAACCACACACCTTCGTCCTAACTCCTGTCCCTAAAAGAATGTCGGGGGCCTGGCTGTGGGGGCAGATGCCCTGAACACGCCTGAGGATAAATTCTTCTAAAACCCAGAGTCGCTGATCCTCACGGATAAACTAATTACACGGCAGGAGTTTCAAGTCTGTTTCATCCACAGGCTCTGCTGTTTAAAGCTTTTTGTCTGTATGCAGAATAGAAGGCTGCACCCGGTTAGAAGCTTCTGGCAAAGTAAATCTGTAAAAAAGCAAGCGGGCTCTGAGCTCCCTGCGCCCCCACAGCGAACTCGCGGGTAAGCACGTGTTCCGTCCCCAAGGA